GCCCCCAGGGGGGTTGAATGTTCCCAGTAGTGGTATGGCACAGCACCTGTGATGGCAGCAGGTATTTATTTAGATACTGTAATGCACAAAAAGGCACCCAAAGTATAGACACAGTCCTGAAAATGATACCTAGAGATTACCAGAAACAATTTGAAGAGGGGTGTTTTATTGGGGGTATGGGCATGTGAGCTGGGGAAATATGAAAATTAACGAAGCTGTGATCTCTTTTGCATCAAAAGGCTGTGTCTACACTGTGTTCTTGATGCTGTGCTAAGCACTAGATAAAAAGACTTGGTCCAATTACTAAGGAACTCAGTCTTGTTATCAGGGAAATGTAGGCAAACAGACAATGTAAGAATCTCCTAGAACATTTTAATGTTTCAATTTTTAAAATAGAGATTTCTTTATTGGAGTTTGAAAAAGTTCATCAAATTTTGTTAGGGCGGTTTGATTCAATTCCCCCTACTTCCCTAATTTAGAAAGAAACGTGTGGCCCACTTATTTAAGTGATTTTTCCAAAACCACACATCTATAACTGATATGATTCTGCAATCTTTGTAATGTTTTGAATAACCAATAAAAAAATAAAATAAAATAAAAAGTAAAAAATAAATATTAAAAAAAAAAAAAAACCACACATCTAGTTGTTTAAATGCACACCAGGGAGAACCCAAGTCTTCTAACACTCTAAACCATTCTTTCCACTACATCACAACACCTCACTTATAATTCCTTAAAAGGATGTCTCTATTCTAGTTTTTCATTCATGGTACGTGAAAAAAAAAAAAAGTGTAGTGAAAAAAGCATGGGTCAGAATCATACAAACCTGGGTCTTAATTTTCTGGCTAATTATACTACTTTGTTTAGCATTAAGGCTGATTCTAATAAAATAATTTAATGCTTTATAAGAAATTATGATAAATCTATACTCTTAACAAGGATTGTACCTGCTTAGACTTTGTGCTCCTGACCCTGAATTTTGTAAGACATTCTATGAATACTACTCAGCAAAGCTAACTAAAAAGAAGTGAAAATAAAGAATGAAAGTACTGTAATGAGTGTGGTAGCCCAGACTACTACTCCCAGCTACTAGGGAGGCTGAGATAGAAGGCTACAAAGTTCAAGGCCAGTTTGGGTTATTACCGAGATCCTGTATCATTAAAAAATTTTAAAAGGGCTGGGGATATAGCTCAGTAGTACAGCATTTGCCTAGCATGCATTAGATCAACCCCCAATACTACAAAAAACCTACTGCTCCCCACAAACCCCCCCCCAATGAAAGTGTCAATGTTAATTGATGACTTGTCATAGCAAATAGCTTTAGGGCTTACTTCATTGTACAAGAGTAATGACTCCTCTAGTAAACTGAGGAGGGAATACATAATCAAGGAAACATAGTCTAATATATTTCCATGAGCTCTATCAGAGCTCTCAATCCCTGAATCTATTTATAACATTTTTTATATCTCTACTAGTGATTTTGATAAATCTGTTTCTCAAAAGAGAAAAAAAAAGGCTTACAAGAGAAACTATTGTCTAAACTAAAAACATATAGATCTATTTCTCAGTTAATTTATTTTTGAAGTTATATACAAATATTCTACTAGTAAGGCTAAAGGGGGGGGGACCCACCTTTTTTCAGCCCTAAAATTCTCTTTGCGTTTGTTTAAAAAATGATGAATTGTGAAATGAAGGAAACAATGCAAAAAACCCAAGCAAGTAGTTCATTCCACATTTCAAGCTTCCTAATTAGGGTATCTTGGTTTTGCTAAGCACTTAGAACTAAGTAACTGAAGAGTTTAAGTACCTAGAAAAGAACTCAGGATAAAGCTAAAAGCATATATTTCTACATGTTATTACATTTTCCACTTCCTGTTTTATTTAGACAACTCATCATGACCATTTCAGGTAACAATGAAGAAGTGTAAAACCCAACTTCTGGTGGGGCACAGTGGTGCAGGCCTGTATTCTCAAGTGACTCCGAAAGCTGAGGCACGAGGATCCCAAGTTGGAGTCTAGCCTAGGCAACTTGGGGAGACTCTGTTTCAAAATAAAAAAATAAGAAGAGCTGAGGATGTAGCTCGATGGTAAGGAACCAATGAGTTCAATTCCCAATATTGAAAGAAAGAATTAACAAACCAACTTCCTCTTTATAAATGTGATAAAACCCTCAGCAGTTAGTTTTAAGAATGAAAGATTTTATTAGCTTTTTTCGTAGAAATGCTTGCAAGGAAATCAGAGACTATCATCAACAAATTTACTTAAGGGTCCATTGCTTTCATGTAACAAAAATAAAATATTAAAAATATTTTAAAAAATTAAAAAGTATATTAATAAAATATTTAAAAATAAAGTCAGCAATATTAAAACATATCTGGCATCATGGCTTAGATGTCTTAAAATACAAATTAAGGATGAAAATATCTTGATTTAAAAAAAATCAGTTTAATAGTGCTATGGTTTGTATAAATCTTATAGGACAAAAATCTCATTATTTACAGTTTATGACTTCTAAGGCATTCATATCAACAATTCCTGTTAGAAAAATACTTTCTCAATTTTTTAAATTCAGTTAAAAGATATCTCAAGGGTCTGGGGTTGGGGCCAGTGGTAGAGCACTTGCCTGGCATGCGTGAAGCACTGTGTTCAATTCTCAGCAGCACACATAAATAAATAAATAAACAAATAAATAAAGGCCCATCAACAACTAAAAAAAGGTACCTCAAGTCTAGAAGAAGGTAACAAGTTAGGAGAATTCATATAATCTTTCAGATTCATAGATATAAATAGGTTTCACCTCTGGGAATAAAAACCTAACAAAATTTTAGTAACCTCAAATCATATGAATTTTTATAGTATCAGCTATAACTTAATTATACACCCTAAGGAAGACAATGTTGTTAATCTAAAAAAAATCTTTAAAGTCAAGAACAGTAGAACATGCCTGTGATCCTTGGGAGACTGAGGCAGGAGATCACAAGTTCAAGGTCAGCCTCAGTAACTTATCGAGATCCTGTCTGGAGATTTTGAAAAGAGCTGTGGTTCATTGGTTAAGTGCCCTTGGGTTCAATCTCCAGTACCCGCCACCAAACAAATGTACTAAATATGAATGAAATTCAACAACACTTTTTGGCATATTTACGAATTACGGTTTGCTTATTATGCCATTATTAAAATTAAGAAACAAAAGAAGTACACTAGAAGAGGAAACTGGTCTGGATTTGTTATAAAATCTAGGCAATTAATGTTATTAATTAACACATTTAATATCTAAAGACATTTTAATTTGCCCATTGAAATACATACATATTTTTCCAAGTTTAATTAAAAAGGCATTGCAGCCCAATGGCAAAGACAAGAATCCAACATTGGCTAAATGTTATCACTTCAACACAATAAACCTCAACGTTTATTTTTACCTAAATTCCTTGTGAAATCTATTGTAACAATTTTTTGCTTAAAATAAATGGACCATCAGTTGAGCTACCAAATATTTTATCCCAGAATTTTCATAATTAAAATTTATATGCACCATTAACTATTTGCCTTACAACAAACATTATTGTTTTCTTTCCAGCATTGTTTTTTTCTCTAAACCTTTAACACTTATGAGAATAAATTTTCAATAAGAGAAAACTTAATGATAAAGTGTCATTCAATTGCTTTTAAGTGTTGAGTACCTTCTTTGGCATTTCAAAATGGCATGCCATATGTAGATATATCAAATTATTCTGTAGAGAGGACTCCCGGATCATAAAGAGTTCCCCTCTTCTCTCCAATCTCTATCTAAATAATATTAATAATAAGATAAACCTGGCTAGACTTACAGAACACTCAGGGGTGCACACTTGGAACTAACAGTCGCTGTTGCAAACAAAAGACACAATTCTTTTTCTATAAGGAGTTATCTGGTGAGAATATTCTAATTTCTACAAGCCTTGAAATGCTGTATTTAGTAAAAAACCCTGACAATTTTTTAAAAAAAATGTGTGCAGTTGTCAGTAAAATAGTTAATTCTACCTCACTTGGGTCCTGCTCTTGTACTTAAAGACACTTTTAAACAAAAAAGTATATAAATTGCACATTGACAAATCCAACAATAACCAAAGACACCACCATGGGGCATCAAAGAAGGCAGGATGCTTTGTCCAGACTTGATTGTGTTAACATAAGGTTTATGCACTACGTAAAACCTTTCTGGAGTTTTAAAAAAAAAATTCATTGGTTATTCTGGATTGGTTAACAAGAAGCTGAGAACTATTTTTAAATAAATTATCGTTAAGAGGATGCAAGATGCAAGGGAGAGTCACTTAGGGGGCCGTAGGCACATGCAAACACTCATGGGAGCATCTGCAGAGAAAAGTGGTACTCAAATTCTGAAGTCAATGCCCGGAGGCTTACACATTTATTTTAGGTAATTCGTTCAGCCGACAGTACAGGAGAAAATAAGTGCATGTGTAGTGAGAGGGACAATACTTGGGGACCTCTCCCATTTTGCTCTCATGACAGCAAAATCACTTCCTGAGGAAGGAGGAGCAAAAGGGAAGTTAAGAGTCCACCCTGACCAGGAAGTGACTCGCCCTAAACTAGCCCCAAACACATCAAAAAATGGGGGGATGGGGTGAGCCCCGACAGCCTGAGGCGGTAAAATAACTGCTGCTTAATACATCGCGACATCACCATCGCCCACTCTCAAAATTACAGAAAAGAGTCCACAGTCACAGTTCAATAAGGGAAGTCTCTTCTCATACAGGAAGGTCACTGGGCTGTGCCCCAGGTCCGGGAGGAAGAGAAGAGAGTGAAGGAATGGGGAACTGGGGACACAGCGGGGCAGAGGAAAGCCCCTTAACAGGAAAGCGTCCCGACTGCAAAGAGCGCATGCCAGCACCGGAAAAGAATCTTCTTTTTCCTGGGGATACAGCCAGGCTTCCCACCGCAGCCGGGTCGGGCCCCTGTTCCCAGTCGGGGGAGGAGGTAAGAGAGAGAGGCGGACCCCTTACCTTCTCCTCATCCGACACCCGATCCTCGAAGTCGGCCATCTTGGGCTGCTCTGGCCCAGCCCGGCCGCGGGCGCGAGGCAGGCCGGGAAGGAAGCTGAGTGATGGAATCACCGCAGGGGCCGTCGGAAGGACCCGCCCGGAAACGCCGAGCGGGAGGGCGCCATATCAGCTACGCGCCGGGGGTGACGGCCTCGAGCGCCTGTGCCCCAGGAAGTCGACTTTGCCTTCAGGGGTTTGAAGTCTATTATCTTTCTCTCTGAGTTATAGTCGTCCCCCGTTCATCTATTGGATGCTGGCAGCCTGTTTCCACTGTTCTTGGTGCCTGGGCTCCTTCCGACTAAGGAGCACTTGTGACTCCTTTAAATTTTTCTGTACCGGTGATCTCCATGGCAGCCGAATCCAAAGCGCTAAGAGCTGGTCGGCCCTTGAAAAGACCGGTGGCTTTTCCAACCCCGGGAATAGGGTGAAAGGTGACCCTCATCTCGTTTGGAAGCAAAACCACTCCAGCGTGACATCTTAGTTCAGTTCCTCCAGAATAGGGTGCCACTATTGGCCCTTTCCCCCCAACCCCCTCCAAGGAAAAGTTAGGCCCAGTGTTGGGTCCTGCCCCGCCACCTTCCAGATCTTCTAGGTCCCGTTCCCAGGACTCAGCCTCTACCGAGGCCAACTTCAGGTCCTCCACTATCCCAGGATTCCCGACGCTCGGTTTCCTGCCCTTCTCCCCTCCCAGCTCCCGGCGCCTGCGGGAGCGGCAAGATGGCGGACGGGGACGGCTGGGGTGAAGCCGCGACTGCTGCGGCATTTCCTCCTGCATCTGCTCCCGGCCTGAGCCCGCCGCTGGGCTGGAGGGAGCGGCTGCGGGCCGGGCTGGCGGGGACAGGGGCCTCGTTGTGGTTCGTGGCGGGGCTGGGGCTGCTATACGCTCTGAGGGTACCCCTGAGGCTGTGTGAGAACTTGGCAGCGGGTGAGAGGCCCAGACCTCCCAGGGACGGGCGGGGACCCAGGAAAGGTGTCTGGGGCCAACGCCAAAGGGCAGATAGGAGGAGACTGGGTTGCTCGATCCAGTGGGTTCAGTTTCTCCTGGGCCATAACCCCGCAGCTGATTGTCAAACCTGAGTTGCAGCTACCGACTCCTCCCTAAGGCGTCTTAAGATCCGCCCTCTCCTGTCCTCGTTTACCCCAGGAAAAACCACCTGACAAGCTGTAAGGTTTTAGGTGGTAGGACAGAAGATAGCACGACTCTCAGACTTTGGATACAGAATTTATATACACTATCACCATTTGTAGTCCCTTGAAAATCGTTCCTTTGAGTCTCCAACTGCCCAGCTAAGAGGGACCCACAGCCAGACAACAAAGGCATACATATCTGTAATACAGAGATCTCAGGAAATGCCTCGGTCTTAATCTACCATTCTTTTGTTTCAAAGTCGATCTGTTAAGAAATAGTTTTCGTAGTGTTTTGTCTTTTTTTCTTAAAGGCTTTGAGTAGTAAAACAGATCAGTAAAGAAGAAGAGAGTGAGCTCCACAGACAGTAATGGGTTTGTTTGGTTCTTTCAACATTTGTACTGTGCTTGTTATTTAGCAGCCTGTTTCCACTGTTCTTGGTGCCTGGGCTCCTTCCTACTAAGGTACAAGGACATGTAAGAAGCGTTGATCCCCATGGATTCTACAAATAACTATTCTTTCACTATAAACAGGACGAAGTGGATGGGGCCCAGGGCATCTTACCATGTTATTACAACATTTCTTTCGTGTTCTGAGCAGCAAACTCAGAACAAGATGGAAGAATTCTATTAAGATATGACTTTGTCAGTATAATGGTTAATTTTTTCTATAGTGAGAGAAGGCAAATGTCTCTTTTGTGAGATAATGTTCTGAAATATTTTGGATATTTTAGAAGATCAGTGTGATATAAATTCAGATCTAATTGATTACAAAACAAGCTACAGAACTAATTGGCATCTGTAACAGGTGTATCAAGTGTTTAATGGTAGTTTGTATGCTCACTGAAATGTTTTTCATTGTGTTTATCCTTTATTTTTCTATGTATTAACTAAATACATCATTTAGATGAGAGTAATTCACTATTACAGATTTTTATTTTAAAACACAAAAAGATATATATATATATATAAGAAAACAAAGTATTTGAGACAGTTATTTGAATTGAATTTGAATCAGGACTTCTGTAAGTCAGGTGCAGAGAGCTCTTAGTTTGTTACTTCTCTTCCTAAACTATTTTGCCTTTCTTGCTGATTTAACTAATTTAACCAGATACACACTGGATCTTTCCCTCTAATTTGAAACACTGGTTCATATCTAACCAAAGTAATTAGGGAGTGGTTTTAAACTTCCTTTGTGAAAGTGTGTGTTTATCTTCTTATAGATTTGCAAAAGGTCTAGTGTAAATTATGACTTAAAAGTACAGTGGTTAAGCAGAGTACAGATGGCACACACCTGTAATCCCAGCGGCTCCGGAGGCTGAGTTAGGAGTTCAAAGCCAGCCTCAAAAAAAAAAAAAGCCAGCCTCAACAAGGGCAAGGCACTAAGCAACTCAGTGAGACCCTATCTCTAAATGAAATACAAAATAGGGCTGGGGATGTGGCTCAATAGTCGGGTGCCCCTACCAGTTCAATCTCTGGTATTAAAAAAAAAAAAAAAAAGAAAAAGTGCTTAAAAGTCTTTTAAGTATTAAGAAACAAAACAAAAACTCAGTGGTTAAAGAAAAACCGAAACAACAATGACAACAAAAATTCAGTGGTAGAGTGCTCCTGGGTTCAATTCGTAATTTGCCCCCCCCCAAAAAAGCTTGTTTTCTTATTTAGATTTCATATATGTACTAGTGATTAAATATGCTAAAATATGCTTTGAATCCTTTTTTTTTTTTTTTTTGGTATTGGGAATCTAACCCAGGAACATTTTACACAGTTGGAGCTATATCCCCAACCCTTTTTATTATATTTATTTTGAGACATGGTATCATTAAGTTGCTTAGGTTGACCTGAAACTCGTGATCCTCCTTTCTTAGCCTCCTGAGTCACTAGGATCACAGGCAAGTGTCACCATGCCTGGCTAAGTATGAGTCATTCTTAAAAGCATTTTGGGTTTTGTTTTGTTTTTAGTACTAAGGATTGTACCTAGGGCCTTGTACATGCTAAGCCTTATTTTGATTTTTTTCTTTTTTAACTAATGAACAGTATGAAATCTTAGCTTTATATGTGAGAATGTATTTTTTTAAAATATGTGATAGGATGGGAATTTATAGTGGTGATTTTAAAAACTACAACTTCTTCAAATGAATTTCATACTATATATAAAAACAGTTTCTGATTTAGATGGTTGGACTTAGGATTTTTCAACTTTACAGTGATGCCCATAAGGATTTAGTAGAAATTTTGAATTTTGATCTTTTCCTCTGATAAGAGTATGCTCTTTTCCATGCTGGGCACCAACAGCGAGCTGCTCTCCTATTAAGGCAATCAGTCTAGAGGATAAACAACCAATACTCCATAGTGTACTGTGTTGCTAAGCTATGGTCTTTAGAAGACTAGTCAAATCACATGTATTATGGACTTAAGAATATTTTCAATTTATAGTGAGTTCATTAGGACACAACCTCATTGTAAATCAGGAGTATCTGTACTCCATATGTCCCTCCACTGCATATTTGTAACTTAAGTACTTAAATTTGTGTGTGTGTGTGTTTAACTTTTGTGTTTTTTTCTTTTAACAGTGACAGGATTTTTAAATTCATTGACACCCAAATTCTATGTGGCACTTACAGGGACATCTTCTTTGATATCAGGACTAATATTTGTAAGTACTTTTTATTTTTTCCATTCATGTTTTGATATGTAGCTAAAGATCTTTTATATGGTTATAATAATTGCAAGTACTTACATATCAGCATTTCAAAAATGTGTTTGGTACCTAGTAACTTAAAGTTACCTAGTCAAACAGGTTTGGAGATTGGCAGTATTTATTGCATATTAAAGACATTTGTACTGTAGTCAGGAAGTGTTGGGATGGGTTACAAATTTAATGTCTAAAGGACCCAGATTAGTAATAAAAAATGAATGAAATCAGCAGAGTGTAAGAAATTCCTTATTTACTTTGAGGACTAGGAACTTGCAAAGTGCATATTCCTTCTAAAAGGAACTGAAGATAATTGTTGTCATGTAGATTTATGACTAGTACATCTTCCGGTTTTATAAATGATTTTTAAGAGAAACTGGATATACAGACTTTATATAAAATCTTTCGATATTTTAATATTAACAACTTAAGTAGAGTAAAATTTATGTGTCTAAAATTCAGCCTATAGTTTTTACAATCCCCATTATTTTCCCATTTACAGATATAGTTTTTATCTGTAAATGGGAAAATAATGGTATTCATGGGATTATGAGAACTAAATGAGATGAATATATAAAACTTGTAACCATGGTAGTTGACTCAATAAGTATGTAATGAATTTTAGCTATTATTCTGGGAAGTGCCCTAGTTAGAAACCTGTTTTACTTTGATTCAACTTTTCCTTTAACAAGGTATCATTTTTTAATTTAAAAAAATATTTTTAAATTTTATAATATCCACTGAATCTAGTGCTTTCTAATATACATTTTGGAAAACTACTGCTACAGATAAAAATCTTTTAAGTATTATGTCATGTGTGGGCCATGGATTTTTTATTCTTTTTCTTATCTGTAGGTGGTGCTCTCCAGCTTTAGTAGAAATAATATCATTTGTATTGGACTTAAAAATAGGGACTGACACTATTTTTTTTAAGTAAATGTTAGACAAAAAAGAAATTTTTCTCTTTGTTTAGAAAAATTTGAATTCAAGAGAAAAAATATATGGTAATATAAGTCACAATTTATTGGTTTATAAGATCCACTCATAGTTAAAGCATATTTAGTCTTATTCTAGCATATTTAGTTAATAGAATAAATGTGAAATCTAAAATAAGAAAATAAGCTATCTTTTCTTTTTTGGTGGTATTAAGACAATATCGAACCTATGGGCTGAGCTATATCCCCAGCTTTTTTTATTTTTTATTTTTAGACAGGGTCACTCTAATTGCTGAGATTGGCCTCAAACTTAGGATCCTTGTAAGTCATTGGATTACAGGCATGTGCCACCATGCCTAGCAGAAATAAACTGTCTTTAAATGGCTGATATGGGGAAAAAGCATTGATTTCGGAACAGGATCTGATTTTGAGTATCAACTAGCTGATAACTCTGGGCAAGTCACACAAACTGTAAAATTTCTCATTCCTTCATATTTAAAAGAGGGGATATCTTATATATCTAATTCATAGAAATATGATGTCTAAAACCATTTAAAAATTTGTTGTTACTCTTTTTGAAATAGGAAATTCAAGTAACATTTTAAAGACTAGACTATGTCATTACCCTTGCAGTATTGATAGTTTTTTAAATTATTATTATTAGCAAAGGTTGTTCTGTATATAATTTCTCTTACTATCTGGACTTACATACACACATACATTTACATATATACATACATTTACATGTACACTGAGATATATTTGGGAAGCCATTGAATGTAATGATTAGAAGCTCTGAAGTAAGACAGACCTGAATAAGAAACTTACTTCTGCTTACTCCCCAGTGGTGGTAACTAGAGCTAGTTGTTTGAATTTGGAATTTGTGTCCTCATTTCTATAATTAGTTATTATGAGAATTAAATGACATAATGTATTATAAAGGACTTGGTAAAATGCTTGGCTCATGGAAAACTTTTGATAAATGTTAACAATTATTATTAGCATTGTTTATTTGTGTTAAAAAGTTGATCTAAAATTTCAGAAAACTTCGAATTCATATTTATTCATAAAAATGCTATAGTGAAGAACAGTTTATTTTTGTTCCCCTTGTGATTTTAGTTCTTGATGGCATTTATCCAATTTTTAAATCCAAGATTTATCCAACATAAATCTTGTCTTTTCTGTCACATAAACAGTTTCTGCTTGTGTAATTTCTTTTGATTGTTTCTTCTTTAAGTTTCATCCCACATCTTAGTAAAATATATGGTATAAGCCAAACCGTGACCACATTTGGTGGGAATTAACTCCTTGTTAACTAGTAAGAGTAAGCAGAAAGGAAAGCCATTTTAGGTTGAGCATAAAACATTAGTGGCATAGAAAAAAAAAAAGGAGCAATTTGATTTTCTAGCACTTTCCTTTAAATATTGTAGCATTTAGTCAGTGGGCTACAATATAGTACAAAACAACTGCATAGTTTAGGCACACAAGTAGCCGCTTTATTATTTACTAAGGCAAAAATCAACATTCCTAGAGATTTGAACACTGGTGTGTGTGTGTGTGTGTGTGTGTGTG